GGTGGGCGGGGCCTCCGTGGAGCACCTCCTCCCGCCGCGCTGGCGCTCGGGCCTCGGTTTTGAGCTAGGCGGGAACCCTGGTGCAGTGCGCAGCCCGCGCTACCGTGCAGCGAACAATTGGCTGAAAGCGCGTGCATCCACTCTTTGGCAGCGCCGTCCCCACAGACGCTCAGCGGCACGGAGTGCTACGTGTGTTTGGGGGTCCACCCTGAGGACTGTTCTGTGGAAAAGTCCCGCCGGGTGCAGTGTCACCGGGACCAGAGCGTCTGTTACCAGGGCAATGGCAGAATGAACACCGGTGAGGGGCTGGGAAGGTGGAAGGGCTGGGCTAGGGAGGTGGCGGTCGGGCAGGATCGAGGACCAGGACCAGGGTCTCAGGAGGAGACCTGCGTCTAGTGTGCGAGGGGCAGGCCTGGCCCCGCTGTCCAAGGTGGAAGCTCAGGCACAGACGTTCCCTCGATCTGACCCCTGCTCGCTGCCCGCCCCAGGCAACTTTTCAGTCCCCGTGTACATCCGAACCTGCCACCGGCCCTCCTGCATCGTCGTGGGCACTAGCAGCCCCTGGACGGCCATCGACCTCAACGGCTCCTGCTGCGAAGGCAGCCTGTGCAATGGGGGCTCCCTGAACTTCACCGCAGTCCAGGCCACAGCCCCTCCCCGGGCTCCCCGCGCCCTGGCCCTGCTCCTCACGTCCGCCTTGCTGGCTAGTGCTCTGGGAGGACCCCTGGGGCTCTCCGCATAGAGGATGCCGGGACTGGACCTGCACCTCCTGCCCACGTGTCAGCCTCTGTCGTGGGTCACTGGAGGACGCTCCTGTCCCTCCCGTGATCTCCTTTCCTTCCCTCTGCCCTGCTTCCCCACCCTCACTCTGCCTGCAGCTGGTCAGTAGGCCTGGAAGAAACTGGGCCTCCCAGGGTAGGGAGTCGCCGGGTCCCGCCCACCGGAAGAGAAGTCCTGCCGACAGCTGTCACTCACACCAGGCGCTGCTGCAGGGTCTCCCAAGCTCTCCTTTGGGGCCCTGCACAGCTGTGGGACGGCCAGCGTGGTGTCTCTAATAGCATCTTCCTGAGAGGCATGGAAAGCCGTTTCCTGTGAGAAGCTGGACTAGAACTGGGCCTCCTCCGTGGGATCCCAGCTCTGTCTGTTAGCCTGGGGGTGGCCGGGAGCAAATAGTTTAAACTCTCTGCCCCTCATTTCCTCACCTGTCAGGTAGAGTGAAAATAAAGTCTGTAATGATGCCAGGAGCTGCTTCACGGTGGTCATGGAGAGGATTTAACGAGATCTACTTCTCGTGCCTGAGACTCAGACGGTGCCCAATACAGCAGGCCCTTGACGTCTGAACTCAGTTCGTTTCCCAAGGGCTGGTTGTAACTCAGATTGGTCAGTTGAAGGCTCAGGTTCCTCTACACAGCCTTCAAAGTCTCTCTCTCCTGTACACAGGCAGATCTCAGTGTCCTTAGAGACACTGGCCTGGGATTTCTCAGTTAACCCCACACGGGGAAGGAAGGATGCTTTATGTTCCTTCCAGAACTCTTTAGGGTCACATCTGTATCTAAGACCAACTGGAAGCACAAGCGGCCGGCATTGGGTCATAACACAAGATTTGAGTCCTAAGCTAAAACTAAAATTCTGGTCGTAACCCAAGTTGTTCGTATGTCAGGCCAGTGGTAACTCGAGGACCCACTGTATAAGGGGTCTACTGTCATAAGCCCATGTCACTGTCCAGCACACTGGTAGACAGTGGCTCTGGTGTATCTGGTGCATCGGAAGGCAGGCCCAGGAGTCCCGCTTAGCAACCCCACCTCCCAAACACGCGAGTTCAGTCCTTTGACAGAAACACAAGCAAGGTGAGCCTGCAGAGATCTGGGACGATTTCCTGGGAAGAAAATCTTGAGCAAATATCCCAAAGGATAAATAGGGGTTGACAAAGACAAGCAGGAGGAGGGAGGTTCTAGACATAGCCAGGGGACATAGCCTGGCAAAGGTCTGCAGGCAGGGACACAGGGCATGGAAGACACTGACGCAGGCCCATGCACGCCGCACAGAGGGAGTCACAGGGCAGGTCCTCCTGTGTACATCCTTTCCCCAACAGCCCACTGAAGCAAGCAGGAGAGGGAGTTAGTCACATCTTGCTATGGTCTGAACATCCCCCCCACCGTACCCATAGCAACCAGGGAGCAGCGAAGAAAGGGAGGGGCCAGGGGGGGAGATAAACCCTCTGGCCTCGCCCCAGTGACTCACCTCCAAGCAGGCCCCGCCTCCTAACAACGCATTCAGGTACTGAACGCACCCGCTGATGGGTACAGAGCCCCATGATCCAGTCCCTCTCCTGGCTGACATGGCTTCCGTGTGAGAAGCAAGGCCACCCCCACGTCCCACCTCTTCAGCACGTGCTGGCTCGTCCTTCCACTTGCTACCATGAACCGAAGCAGCGTGAGACCCTCATTGGAAGCCAAAGATGCCAGCACTTCCCATCCACCAGAACCATGATCCAAAACAGTCTCAGGTGTCCTGGTCTAGCAACATAAAACAGACTAAGGCAGTGGTCCTGCCCTCTCCCCACTCCAGTGAATGTGGAACTTCTAAGAGATGCCCTTGGGTCTCAGACATGGTTTCCCTTGGTGCCACTGTGTGGCAGTAACCCATTGCCCCCAGAAAACTGAGATCAATCACCCCATAAAATAGAGCAATCCCCTTCTTTGTCGGTTAGTGGCTTGAGGACCCCAAAACAGTCAGGTCGAAGCTTCATCTTCCAATTCAGTGGAACCATTGTTATGTCTTAGGGTTTTTTTCCCTCGGGAACTAAGACTTCCAAACAAGCAGAGCTCAAAGTTGTGGGGACAGGAAGTGAAAATTCTGCAAGAGGGACATTAGCTGTAACCAGAAATGAGCCCCTGCTGCCCCTTTGGTACCCAGATCAGGCGTGGAGGAGAAAGCACTGAATATTTGCCATTGATGCAGACCCAGTGCTACATCCTACAAGTTGGAACCCATCCTGTGGGGTAAGTGACGCAAAACCAGCGACAATAACAAAGTCACTCCATGGGTTTATGAGACACGCTGCTCCAAGTGATATAGTGTGAAGTAAAATCAGTGAGGGCTGGGGATTTGGGTCAGTGGTTCCACCACCTGCCTCACAAGTGCAAGGACCCGAGTTCAATCCCCGGTACAAGAAAAAAAAAAATTGTAAAACCAGTGAGATCCATGGTCCCATCCGTCCTCTCCATGAAGGGCTCCTTGCTCAAAAGACATTCTGCACTCCTGCGGAGGGAGAATGGGGGACCGTGAGAAGAATAAGAAGAGCCTTTTGTCTCTCTACAAGCTCCCGTTTATACATGGGGACCACAGAGCTTGGGTAACGAGCAGAGGGACAGTGTAGATGCAGCTTACAAAGCCTGGATACACATTCCATCAGTATCCACCCCTCGCTGACTGAGATCTTCCCCTGCTCCTGGCCACACACTAGAAACTGAGGTCACAAAGGGGAGTCCGAGACCTGGAGGGGCTCCCAGTCTGAGAAGAGAGAGACATCTGCCCCGGGATGGTTGCAAGTCTACGACAGAGGCTGGGCAGGAGCGAGGGTAGGCACGCCATGGGGAGAGACACCTGGGGCTGGTGCCATAGGGAGGCGAGGCTCGAGACAGGTCTCAGAGCACGCCAGCCAGACAGAGCAGACCAGCATTCCAGACAAAGGGACAAGCTGGAGCGGAAATAAAGATCCAGTGATGGAAGTAATCTCAGGGGGATTGGACAAGCTTTCGTCATCATTCTGTGCCGGGTGGCCTTGGAGACCTCCACCCTTCAAGAGGTCCTGACTGACCCTTGTCACGGTGCAGCGCCCAGATTGCCACAGCCCCCAGAGAGACGGGGACAGTAAGGGACAAAGTGGGGACGGTGACCTAGACTGAGAGACCAGCCTGCATGGTGGCTCCGAAAAACGTGTGAGGTGGCAAGGAGATAGCAGGGCAGAGACAAGGATAATAAGCACCATAGCGATAGACAGCAAGGGGCAGCCAACAAGTCTTTCCAACCTGCTCTCGGAGGCTGGGGGATCCGGAAATCCAGCAGTGAGTCAGACCCAGCCCTGCCCTCCTGGCCTGGAAAAAGACAGTCACAAACCTAGAGGCTCAAGGTTGGTCAAACACAGAGCATGAGGGACGAAGGGAATTCCAGAGAGCAGACCGGGGGGGATTTATCCACGAGGAAAAGCCCGGACAAGTAGAAACTGGCAGCAAGCAGGAGGAAAGGCCCTCCAGACAGGAAGTTTGCACAAAGACTCAGGATGTGTGTAAAGGTGAGAAAGAGGAAGACGGACAGGGTGGTAGGGCCCTGAGTGCCTTGTTTCCCTAGCTTTCCCCTGCAGTCAGTGGGGAGCCATGGAAGGATTTAGAGAAGGGAAGGCTGATGAAAACCAAGTTTGGCTGGAGGCAGCCAGCCAGGGAGGAGGCTGGAGAGGCATCTCCATGGTCAGGGGCTGCTCAGTGCTAAAGGGCTGAAGGCAAAGGACGGAGTGGGATGGGAGCCCCCTGTGTGAGGTTAGTGGGGAGGGGGTCTGATCACAAAGGGGACACAGGGCAGTGTCCCTTCCTGGTGTGCCTGTGACTCTGTGAGGACTCACTACAATTTGTCCAAAATGTACCTCTATTTATCATGGGGTTTTGTGCCTATAGTGTATTCTTTTTTCTTTCTTCCTTCCTTCCTTCCTTCCTTCCTTCCTTCCTTCCTTCCTTCCTTTCTTTCTTTCTTTCTTTCTTTCTTTCTTTCTTTCTTTCTTTCTTTCTTTCTTTCTTTCTTTCTTTCTTTCTTTCTTTCTTTCTTTCTTTCTTTCTATGTCAAAAGCAAAATCAGTGCCAGAGGTCAGGCCTTTGGACTTCTGTAATTTGGCTTTTTTTTTTTTTTTCTGGTAGCGGTGGTATTGGGAACTGAACTCAAGAGTCTCACACTTGCTAGACGAGTGTTCTACCATGAACTATATCCCTAGCCCTTGTTATTTTATTCTGAGACAAAGCCTAACTGAGTTATTCGGGCCTGTCTTCAACTTGTGATCCTCCTGCCTCAGCTTCCCAATAGCTAGGGTTACAGAGTGCAACACTGGGTCTGGCTGGTATTTGGCCTTTTACCTTTGGGGATAAAGACTGGAACACCAGTCACCTCTGCTGTATTACTTGGGAAGGGCACAAGAGAACATGTCAATATCAGGCATGGTGGCACATCCCTATAATCCCAGCACTCAGGAAGCTGAGGCAGGAGGATTGCAGCCAGTTTGAGACCAGCCTGAACTACATAGCAAGATCCTGTCTCAAAAAAAAAAAAAAAAACACAAAACAGACAGACAGAGAGAGAAAAAGAGAGAATGAGAATGTGTTGAAGGTGGCGATAGCTTCACGAGGGTGGGGTCACATATGTCTATAAATGGGAATCACACTTATCTGCACACTTAAGATTTATTAATTTTGGGGCCGGGATTTAGCTCAGTGGCGCCACCACCTGCCTCACAAGCGCAGGGTCCCAAGGTCAATTCCCAATACTGAAGAAATTGAAAAAATTGTTAATTTTACCATGTATAAGTCTTACTCAACAAGAGAAAAAATATAAATACAACACATAATTAATGACATCATGTCTGGGATTTCCATTAAAATAACACATAATACGGCATAGACAAAATGCACTTGAGGCTGGGTGAGGGGGCCCATGCCTATAATCCCAGCACTCTAGGGAGTTGAAGTAGAGAAACATTGAAAGTTTGAGCCCAGCCCAGGCAATTTAGTAACTTAGTGAGACTTTGTTTCAAAATAAAAATTAAAATAATAAAGTTGGGATGTAGCTCAGTGCAAAGGTCCTGGGTTCAATTCTTAGTGCTGAGGACAATAAAGCTAAAGCAAAAGCAGTTGGGCTAGGGATAGAGCAGAGCACTTGCCCAGCACGTCCAAGGCCCTGGGTTCAATTCCTAGGATTGAAAAAAGGCGGGCATGGTGGCACATACCTGTAGTCCCAGTTCCTTGGAAGGCTGAGGCAGGAGGATCACTTGAGTCTAGGAGTTCAAAACCACCCTGCACAACACAGCCAGATCAATCTCAGGTCTGGTAAACTGATGAATCGATACATCAAATGCAGCTGAATTTACTGTGATCCATCCACTCCCTTCCTCGAGCGCTCAGAACTCTCCTCATTGGTGCAAAGCCTGGATCTCACATGAGACACTGTCCCTGCCCCCACCGCGCCGCAGCCTCCCTTC